GAACAGAAAGGCAGAGATAATATTAATGGGCTGTTAATTATTGAGAATCGCTTAGTAAAGAAATATTTATAAACTAGTTTTTTGTTTAATTTGATATCATATACAAACGCACGTAAAATGCATGCACACGATTTTAATAGCTATTAAGTTTATTTAAAAAACAATAGGACAAGATTATGTTATAATTGAAGGCGCCGCCTCCTGTCAAGCTGCAGCCACTCTTTTATTATTTAAACAGCCTTCTTCATTGTTCAAGACGCCGCCTTCTTCATAGTTGAGGCCGTCGTCTTCTTCTTTCCTTAAGCTGCGACCTCCTTAATAGTTAAGGCCAGCGTCTCCTCCAATATTAAAGCCGCTGCCTTCTCAACTTCAAGCAAAGCCTATGAGACTTACTTAAATTCATGAGAATCGCGTAGTAGGGAATTTTTTAAGAATACTTTTTTTTTTCATTTGCAGCGGGAGGTAAACTTGGTCTTGCATATAAACATACAAAACATATGCATACATTCATTTACATATATAAATGCATACATAATACTTATATACATTTGACATGCATATACGCATGTACATGCGAACATACATGCATTAATACATACAAACGTACTTACATACATATGCACATGCACACACACACATGTACTTGCATACAGACATACATACATACACAAATCAATATATACATGCATCGATATACACAAACATACGCATATACACGTACATATACACATGCATACGAACATACATACATACATTCTTACATATTAAATACATACATTCATATGAACATATATATATATACATATATACACAGATACATGCATACATACATGCATACATACATACATACATACATACATTCATACATGCATACATGTGTACATGCATACACACATACATGCATACATACATATATATACATTCATACAAGCATACAAATTAATACATATGTACATGCATGCATACATACATTCTAATTGATATATATATACATACAGACATACATTAAAGCCTGCATACGTACACATATGTACACACAAACATGCATACAAAATACATGCGCACATATACATATATGTACATACATACATACATATATACATACGCACATACTCAAACTGAGTTAATAAATAGCAACAGAATAAGATAAATCATCCAAAAACTCAATTTTCGTCTTGTTCTTTCCATTGATAGTTGAAAATGGAAAAAATCAATTCTCAATTCGACTTAGAATATTTAGCATATAAATACATTTGTTCCCATATATATATATACACTGAATGGATTCCAAGTGCGTCTCTTGCGATATTGTTTTATTACTCCCTGCTCCCCCCCCCCCCCCCCTTCACGCTTCAATCAGCATACCACCCCCTTAGGGCAAGTGTATAGCCACAATAGATTGGCATTGGGAATGTGCGAACTGTGTCGCCTGTTGGTTTTTATGGTCGGTTTATCAACACGTTTTTGCCGTTTGGCTTCACTTATCGAACAAACAAAACAACACGAAAAATAATAAAAGACGGCGAATACTTTTAACTGCGAATCCACATTAAATGCGTTGCACTCGCCTGCACATAAATGTGCTCGTAAAAATTAAGCCAATCTATTTGTGGCTTAATAAGCCATTAGTAAGTCGGGTTGGTTAACCGCAACGAAAGTGAATTCGCTTTTGCAGTCGCTTACCTCCAAGCTAGATTTCTCTTAAATGCAAACAGACAACAGCTAAAAAAAATGGGAGAGTGCTCTAATCGGGCATGCCCGACTATCAGATAGAATAGACCCTGAACCTTAGCAAGAGCTTGATTCTACTTCAATATTAGTTGGCGATTCCCAGTACCTAAATATGTTACCCAACTGAGTATGGGCCTGCCTATGGAAATTAAAGTTTTGTGGGAATGGAATGGAAGAAATATTCTCAGTCCCTGTATGCTATACAAGAACCTACATACCAAGTTTGGTGTAATTTGGGGCTATATTCCTCGAGCTATGCTCAAAACTCAAATCTCAAAATCAAAATTCATCGATATTATGAAAAAAGAATGGAAGATACCGGAAAAGAACTATAAGCACGTGCTGCTTGTATGTTGATATATGCCATATATATATCAAATGTCATATCTATAGCTTTTATAGTTAGCATATTTGATGTGCTCGAAGATTCATCCATTTGCCTGTTACATACTTTTGCACAAAACCAGCATACCCTTTTCGAACCACATTCGATTCGTTTAGGGTATTAAATAAACAGAAAATAAGTTAGCTACAGTTGATCAAAATATTTGCACGCTAGACGCGATCGCTTTACAAATTGCCACAGACAGACGGACAGACAGACAGACAGACTGAAAGGCAAGCTGAAAGATAGACGAACTGAAAGATACACACGCACAAAGTGAAATTAAAAATCTATTAGATTCAAGCGCCGAACATGCGATTAACGCTCAAACCGAAACTGAAACTGAAAGTCAGTTAAGTTATTTAAAAAAAAAAAAGAAATAAATAAATAAACACAATTTGATACATTAAGTTTACAAGATTAGCAGAGATAAAGTTTTAGATATCTGACAATCTTCAAGATTTTATATAACAAGCAGTAAAAACATGTTGAGCCAGACTCGACATGCGACTGGCATTCGGATTCTGTATCTGCAGCTGTTGCTGCTGTAGTTGTTGTTGTAGTTGGAAAAGAAAAAAAATTGTCACATAAAAATGCAATAAAATCTGTCAATGTCCGGCGCAGCGCAAAGCGAAAGCTTGTTACCAAATTAAAAATATGCCAGCATTTTGGCCATTTTTTTTTTCCAGCCAAGTGCCATTATGAAAGATCTCATTAAATCACTCTGCCAGAGCAAACAGTTGTATTAAGTGAAAGCCAAAAGACACGGACTACGTACATTTATAGCCAGCTTCAAATAAGACATCTTATATAATCATGACAGAAACGTGCTTATCACTCCGAGCGAAAATTCACGCAATGTTCTAGTTTTGCTTTGAACTTTGAACCGCTGACCGCTCTTGGCTTAGACCACCAACCGTTAGCCGCTAGACCAAACGAAATTAAACGCTAACAAAAAAACTCAGCAAATTGCTTGCTGCGACACGCCGACGATTAAATACTCTTGCTGATTGTGAGTTAAGGGCTAGCAGATGTGTGGGTAGAATAGCTCGTAATTGGCGAAGATTTCTTGTTGTATCTTTTTTCCGAAATATTTACTGAAACTCACTTTTGTACTATATACATTTTGCTATTGAGCTATATGATATAGAGTTTCGTTCCTGGCAGGACTTGTCTCTCAAGTGAAGTGCATGGCAAAACTCATAAATGCCAAGTTTGGGCTAGATATATTAAAAAGGACTTTTACTTAAAAACTTAATTTTTTACAGATCGTTCCTATAGCCGCTATATAATATATTTGTCTGGTAGATTAGTATAAAAGGAATTCCTTAATTGGTTAAACTATCTTAAAGAATCCAAATGGTTTTTTAAATAAAACAGTTTTCTCCCAATCATTCCTATGGCAGCTGTATAATATAGTGTATCGATCTGCCCGATTCTGGCATATATTCTGCCTGAACAACGACTTGCCTGTTTACTCTGATCATTTATTTGTATACTCTATGGAGTTGTGGATGACTGCTTCAATGCGTTACACATTTCACAACAGAATCACAATGCCCACGGAAAGGGTATCATAAACATGCAACTGCTCGCATACGTAATATGCGAACTAGCGTCTCGCACTTGGGCTGTTCTGTGCGCCCGAAACTTGTTTTGTTAGCCATTATTTTGATGACATTTTGGCTGAAATGGTTTATGGCCATTTCGTGTTTGATTGCATAAGTCGCACAGCGGTAATTCATAAAGAATGTGTATTTAATACGAACAGACATAAACGCAAAACGCAGCTGCAACTCGAAACACATGTCGTTGATAACAACGCCATTGCGCATACGCCTCGTGGCCGCCGCTCATTAAAAAATAAATATATATTTATATATGTGTGTGTGTTTGTGTGTTTGTGTGTGTATGCACATTATTGGCATAACATATAATGCTGCCTGCAGCTGTGTGCGTAATTTATTGTAATTGATTTTCCGATAGCAGACGTTATAAACGATGCGGTCGATTACATCAAGCCATCTGAGCATAACACATATATGAGTGTGTGTGTTTGTTTGTGTGAGTGTGTGTGTGTGTGTTTTTTTGTGGCTTTGTGTGGAGGTTATGCAAAGGCAATTAAGTTGTGCGTAATATGTCTAAATTAAAATATTAAAAGAAGGCTTAATCAATATGAAGCGACATAGGTCATGGTGCACGTACACCCAGAAAAAAAAACAAACTCTAAATTATAACATTACCGTTATAGAATCTATACACTTTTAATTAAGAGTTGATTCTAAGCTATCTTAAATTAAGTAGGAATCATCTATATTTTAAACTAATAAACTTAAAATCAAACTCAATAAGGGAACAAAATTTTATAGATTAATTACAGTCTAGACGCTGAGTTAAACAAATGTTGATCTTAAAACTCTTAGTTTTTTTTCCGAGTGTATGAAGTAAGCAAAACAAGTGGAAGATGTGTCTATAAGCAAGCGGAAGATGTGTCTACAAGCTAATGCCAATAACGGTATTTGTCAGTGGATTCCAATAAGAAAACCTGCTGCTGAGACTAACCCATGTTTCGGAATAAAAATAGAAAATTAATTCAAGTTTCATATAGTTCGGAGACATTTTTTTCAACTCATCTAGCAAATATTCTCGCCCAGCCCGTTAGCTATGTTAAGTTAGTTCGAACACCCCCGTGACATACTGGCCTATTATATAGATGTATGTAATTTCCGAAAACCACTCACAAATTGTTTGGCTTTGTAGGAAAAACACGTTCCAGGCGAATCTGAAAAGGCCGTGAAAAGCGCGCTTGGACGTCAGCAACAGCGTCTAATAGGCGGACAAACTGAAACAATCACAACTAACTGGAAAATGTAAACAAAGCTGAAACAACTTTCAGACAACAACAGCAACAACAACGCACAACGAAGCAGGCAACAACAAAGAGCAGTGACTACAGTTAGCGCTGCGGAAGAATTTAAAGTAAGTAATTCCGCGTGCAAACGAAGAAGAAGCAGAAGCTGAAGAAGCAGCAACCGCTAGGAGCAGACGCAGTCAATGCAATGCAAAAACTGAACGAAGCTCGCAGCTGAACGAAAGTTGAGCACGAGAGAGAGAGTGCGAGAGAGAGAGAGAGTGAGTGCCAGCCGGCAGCTTAGCCGCGCCATGAACTTGACTGGCATTGCGAGCGACTGAGTCAGTTGTCGGTCAGACGCGCACGCATGCGCACGCGTTTAAAGTGAATTTTGAGGCATTGTTCGAATATTTGTGAGCCGTTAAATACGCGGCAACCGTTAGGCCGTAGGCGTGTCTAGCGCACAAATGAGGTAATTGCAGCTGGCCACTGTTGAAATTGAATTTGGCTTTCAATTTGGTAAAACAAATAGAAAATGTGCTAAATGCAGCAGCGAAATTGCAAACAACGCGACGAAAAACAACAACAACAGCAACTATAATACAGCAATACATAAGAAAAAAAGAAAGCAAGCCAAGTTGCGCGTGCCACGCACTGGCCAAAAGTATTTGTGAAAATCAATTCTACAATTTACCAATAATAATTGTGTTTGCGTGCTAATCGTGTTTTGTGCGGAACAACAAAATTGTCTGGCGGCAACAGTTGCTGATTGTTTGCCCCTTTTGGCCCAGTTAATTGGCCACAGTCAGCCGAGCGCAACCAACTATACAAATAGTTAAGTTCAGCGCCAATTGGCCCCGAATTAACCCCAAGCAAAGGTGTCAAATTGTTTGCAAATTGAAAATGCGCAACCCTGCAACAGACAGCAAAAACTGCGCCAGCCTTAATTGGCCAAGAAGTGAGAGCCAGTGCACATCCTCAACGCAGCGGCGGCGGCGGCGCAATAGAAATCGCCCCAACATGGCCAATATAAAGTCGAACAAATGCCGTCTGCATTGGCTGCTGCAGCTGGCCGCGCTCCTCCTCTGCCTAATCCAGTGCGCCAGCCTAGTCAATGCGGATGAAAGCCAGCTCTCCACAACACCTTTAACACCTGAAACGACCACAGAGACAGCAGCAGCAGCAGCAGAGACGACGACGACGACGACGACGACGACAGCTGCTGCGGAGGATTGGCGGCCCATTGTGAATGCGACAAGGTCGCCGTTGGGCGGGAAACAGCGGCTGGACGGAAGCGATTCGCTGCTGTTGCGCTTGGCGCGACGCTTCTCCAGCGGCAACGAGCTCTGGGATGGCCTCATACGCGACTGCTACCTGAAGCCGGACATGTCCTGCTTCCAGAAGAACGTCTACAGCTACCTGGATGGCGCCCTGGATACGCAGGATGTGAACATCACGCAGCGCGTGAAGTTCTACAGGAATCAAGTGCAATACGAGCCGGAACAGCAGCCGGAGGAGACGGCCAATGAGGCGCGTTCTGGTAAGTCTTGCATTAGCTTTGCATACACTTAGCGAAAAAATCAAGTAAATTCTACTCGAAGCAAGTAAAAGTTTTAACATTGAAGTTAAAAACTCTTAAATTAAGCAAAAAATGGTTTTATTAAAAAATGTTTAGTAACAAGCATACTTGACACAAGACTTAGAGGCAATGTTAGAACTTTCATAAGAATGCTTTTAAACTTATTTGAAGTGTAAAAATTCTTAAAGCATTGGCTTTAAACATGATTGAAACCTCGTTTGAGACGCTTGAAGACGTTATGATATTGAATGTTTTTTTAATACAAAATTCCTCAATCAAAGACGTGAAAAATCATTTCAAGCTATGCTTTAGAGTTTCAAAACTCTGCTAATAAGCTTTTTATGCATAATTCAAGCGGTTTTTTCTTCAACTTTAAATGTATGCCTTGGAAATTAAAGAAGTTAGATAAGTAATTCTTGAATATTTAATTATATTTTTGTGTATCCCAATGTGAGAGTATTCCAGCCCAGAAACTTCAAACGCGAGTATATATTTTGAGTATGAAAACTCTGCCAATAAGCATATTATGCTTAAGTTAAGCGTTTTTTTTTTTACTTTGGAAATTAAGTCTGCTTGATAATTAGTTCTTGAATATTCAAAGAGCAACACGTTATGAATTTAATATTTTTGCCTATCCCAAAGTAAGTGTATTCAAGCCCAGAAACTTTTAACGCTTATTTTGAGTAGGAAAACTCTTAAAATAAAACTTTTTTTTTTTAATTTTTATATTTTAATTGATATTCTTCAGTCAAGAAGCAAAGTAACTTATTTGAAATTCGAAGAGGAAGACACTTTGAAATTGATTTGATTTTCACCCGATTTTTCGCTGAGTGTGCCCCATTCTAAATTAATTGAATGCTCTATCTTATTTAAATATACGTGTGGATCTTATGTAAGAGCCCTTGGTTCATTTCGCTTTCGTTTGGCTGGTTTACTTTTTTCTCGGCTTTTCGGTTTTTTTGTGGAAACTTTTTCACATCTCGTTCGGCATTCGATTCTTTGCATGCGTTTTGTTTACCATTTTGCTTGGCACGTTCACACTCCCAACTTTCACTTGCCGCATTTTGATTTGATTTCAACGTATTTTGAGTGGAGAGATATATATAAAATGCGACGTGAGTCACAATGCCGAGCAGCTGATTTCTTTTGGCCAAGAAAACAGTTGATAGTCAATTGGTATTATGCAAGCATCAAGTATTTTCGATCTTAAGACAACTTTCATTAGCATAGAACTGTCAGTTAAGTTTTCGCACTCTGGCTTTTCTCTTTTCTCGGCACACCTGCAGCTAGTCCGGAAAGCCCCATCGAGGAAGTGTCCAATGCGCTGTACGGCAAAACAATCAAATTTGCCATGACACATGATGTGGAAGTCGATCTGCCCGAGATCGTTTTCAACGGAGCCACATTTCGCATCTCCCCGCGCTCCATCGAAGGCAACGGGGTCATTGCCAAGCTGGAGCTGATACCCAAGCAGCTGGTCCAGGCGCGTCTCGCCGGTGCCATGATCAAGAAGAAGATACGTAAGTAATGTGCTTATTTTATTTATTCCGACCAGCACGACATCAAGAAACTTGCCATACTGGACCAGAAATGGCAGAAAGTGCGCTTTCGGAAGGAAAAATACGAAAAAAAAAAACCATATTTTTTTAAACGATTGCAACTTTCGTTTCCTTAGACAAATTTCTACGCAACAAATTGCTGCTGTCATTTATTGCATTGGTGCTCATTATTAAGATCATCAAGATCAAGTTATTCTGGTTGCTGCCCATTGTGATTGGCGTTGGGGCCGCCAAGAAGCTGCTGCTCAAGTTCCTGCTCTTCCTCTTCCCGGCGTTAACGCATCTCTTCAAGCTGTGCTCCTACTACCAGCAATCCTATCACGGCACCAAATACCATCATCATCATCATCTGATCAATCATCATCACACGGTAGGTACTTAATGGAGAGAAATTCTCTTTCTCTCTCTCTCTCTCTATATATCTGATTGACTCTCCTTGTCTCACTTTCTTTTATCACTTGATTTTCTTATTAATCTTGCCGCCCACGATTTTTATTTTGTTTTGTTTTCGGTTTCCAACGTCTGGAATTTTATTATATTCTCAAAAAATGAAAATTGTAAAGAGATAAAAGGGGTATAATGCTTATATGCAATTGTGTGTAGTGGGCAGAGGGAGGTCTTAAGTTCGGGAACATCCGTCTGTCTGTCCGTTTCTGTAAACTCATTAATCTCAGAGACTTAAAGAGCTGGAGACTTGAAATGCTGAGTGTAGCTTCTGTTGCCAACGCAGAATAGGCTTGTTGAAAATTATCGATAACTTGCATGTTATCATGAAATCGATAAGAATCGTTATCGAAATCTTGTTATTGAGCAAATCTGCCTTTCTTTATATGATGAACCCATTGAAGAGTGATAAAAGGGGTTAAATGCGATTGTGTGTAGTAGGCATAAGAAGGTATTAAGTTGAGCTACAGCCTCTCCGTCTAAGAAATATGTGGGAAAACATCGATCTCAGAGAATATAAGAGCTGAGGACTTGCTTGATACACATTATCGATAACATGCATGTTTTTCAATGAAAGCTATAATCGTTATCGAATTCTTGTTAATGAGCATATCCACATTGCTTATACCAAAGTGGATATATAGACTTTCGTATACACATATCGAATACATTTCACGTCTTGGAAAAGACGTGAAAAAAATTAACAAAAGAATTGTTATAGGTAGAAGCTTGGTCTTTGGTATTTACACACAATCGGATGACATATTTATGCTCTCAAAATTTTAAACAGATCGAACAGTAAACAGCGAAGTTATTCGGGAGCACACTTCTTATAGAGTTGGTTCGAAGAAAGAAGAAGAACAGCAGCGGCATGAGTATCTTATTCTTGGATGTGCTTATGTACAGAGAAGACAGCTAAAATGATTGTAGCTGCAGCTCCTCTCTGTTGACAGGGTAGCTCCTAATCGCATATGCCCGCCTTAAGCATTATTGTTTTTTCTGTTTTGTTTTTCTGTCACTTATTTTATTTATGCCAGACGCGCCCATTTTGATTACTGTACACACCCGCCCCCGCTGAGCTCTTCAAAGGCAATTAAACAAGTACACGACATATGTCTAATGCATGGAAACCGAATTTTGGCTAATTGAATTTAGCAACCAAAAATGTCAAGGAACTCGAAACAGGCGCCGGGCTCAACTTAAAGATGTGCCACACACTCACACACTCACACCCTCACACACACACACGCACACACACTCGCAGAGCAAATTCCATAGAGATAGCTGCTTGACATTTCATCAAATGAAATCCTGTTATTCATTCATAGCTCAAATTAAATTCTGTCGCTGGCAAGGATTAGAGACCCACTCACGAACAGACACTCGAACGCACTCAAACGCAGTTCACATATCCGTCATATACGAATGCGGGGTACAAATTTGTCGCGCTGTAAATATGACAATAAGCCTAGATAATTGGAAGCTCTTCGCAAAGCACATTTCGCTTGAACTTTCAAGATAAACATGGCTCTGCGCCCGTTTGTTCACCCGTCTGCATTGAATTTAAGTCGACAATTGCTTTAGACTTTATTAACTGCCCATTTCTGTTGAGATCTGGCGGCTAACGAGTCTGTGTCTCATTCACAAACGATCCATAGCTTTAGGTGAAAGAGCTTAGACAGTCCGCATATCTGGTTTTTACAGGCAAAACTGGTCGTAATCATTCTAGGACTATTAAATGTTTATTGGAGTGCCATAATTTGAAAGGAAACTCGCACTTTCAGTGCTGCTGTCGGGAAAACTCTATCAGCCAAATGCTGCCTAACCTCAATCTGCAACATAGTCTCGATATTTCCCAGAATATGCAACTATTAAAACGCTTCTTAAGGCATTTTGTCTTAGCTTTAATATACTTAACTTTTATTTGCATAGTTAATGGGACTTTTTCAAGAGTTTTCATTCTGCAGCTTTAATACTTTTGCGAGCTTTAAGCTCATAGCCACATAAGTTCATACTCTCTTAAAACTCCTTTTATAATCTGTTATATAAACTCACATTTGCATGCATACAAAAACAATTTTCAGCAGCCTTCATGTCGCAGCTTCAATACTTTTGCGAGATTTAAGCTCATAGCCTCATTAGTTAATTCCACATAACCTACAAATTCCATTGAAGCATCGTCCCTTAAGACACTTCTTAATCTTAGCCTTTTATAATCTGTTATATAAAATCACATTTGCATTGTTAATTTAATTAAAAAACTTTTTAGAATAAAGCTCTTTTGTCGCAGCTTTAATACCTCTTCGAGCTTTAAGCCCATAGTCACATCAGCTTATTCTACATAACCTACAAGTTGCATAGAATAATCGTCCCTTAAAGCATTTCTTAAGTCATTTTCGTCAAACCTTTTATAATCTCTTATATAAACTCGCTTTTGCATTGTTCATTTAATTAAAAAAACAATTTTCATCAGCTTTCTTGGCGCTGCTTTAATATTTCGCTTTCGATTTAAGCTCATAGCCACGTGATTTGGGCTGCGTACGGAGAAAACTCTGGTATTCATAAATTAAATTATGCTATGACGCCTTCGCCATATTACAGTGCTCATATATAACTCAGCTTTTGCGCCCAAACTTTGCCTGTCGTAATTCGAGGCGCCTGTCATCTGTTAGTGATGTGCCAAAAATTGTCACCATTTTTCTTTTTTTTCTCTTTGGCTTCTGCCAAGAGTTGGCAAAAATCCTGTGTGTGTGTGTGTGTCCTTCGCACACACGTGAAGCAACTAAAAACTGAAATATATGACACAAATTATGGAGAAAACGAGCTGCGCATGTAAACAAGCGTGTGGGTAGACGAGGCTGCTCGACTACCAGATGCCCTTGACGCAGCTGTCTGTCTGACTGACTGACTGATTGGTGATTAACACGCAGGTCAAATAGTAAGAGCTACGAAAATGTAGAATACTTAAAAGAAGCTGCCTTTTGAGTGAATGAAAGCGGGAACTAAGTTTCGAGCTCCAAGTGGGGTAAAATATTGGTCAAAGTTTTTATAAGAAGGATGAATATCAAAAACGTAGCCATATCGATGTGCTTTGCAACGTGTTTGCGCGTCGGACCAGCACATGTAAAGTCGCCGGTTCAAACCTAGCAGCAAGTATTAATTTTTACACATATCAAATGTTTTCACAAAGAAAAAAAATATAAGAATAGATATTGTTATTATATCTCTGTCAGACCACAAAGAGTTGCTTGCTTAGGCTATAATGACCCCTATATAACCCCTCCGCGCCGCCTGTAAATTAAAGTTACAATTCGAATTCTTTCACTCCTATTCTTAAGAGCTTGACATGTCATTCCACAGCTGTCCGAACAGCCTTTGGAGCCATTTGTTTTGGGTGCAGGGTAAAAATCAGCCGAAACAGAGTTCAACAGGGCCAAAACAGAATGTATATTCAACTGTGTCTGGCAATGGTTGCTTTTGGTCACATATCTCGGCAACCGAGCGCGCGTATTTATTATTTACGACAATTTAAAAGTCATTGAACTGAACCGAAATCAAACTCGAGCACTCGTCGAACCAAAATAATGCGCATCTGTTGGAGTGCGAAGCTATAAATAGGTGGCAAGAACACAAAGGGCAGCCAAAAAAAAAAAGCCCCAATAAATATGTCCAAAAAAAAAGCGAGTAATGTACCTTAATGCTACTTAAGAAGGCAGCTCGTGCAATTTAAGTGCCGACTTTAATGCCATCTCTCTCCCCCTCTCTCCCTCCCTCTCTCTCCTCTCTCCACTCTCTCGAGCAGGTGGTGCCGCCTTGGCATAGCGGTGAGCAGCATCATTCGGTGCCGGAAATCATCTACACGCATCCGCCGAAGGGACATCCCTCGGCCTATCTGCATGGCGCGCCCGTCCACGAGAGCTACGGCCCCGGGCCAGGATTCGAGCACTTTGAGGGCGCCTGGGAGAACAGCGGTCCCGGTCTGGGCTCCGAGTAAGTTGCAGCATTTAAATCATATTCTGTGTAAAACTCTGTTAAATGTCTGTCTCTAAACACACACACGCACACACATCTACACGCACGCACACACACACACTCACATTACATTTGCAACCACAAATTCATCACGCTCAGATACATTGGCGATATAAATCGCGTTGCACAAGTCGGAGATAATGCGAATTACTTTAAGCCGCACACAACAAACGATGCAAATGAGCTGCATGCCTGGGGCTTGGCCACCACACAGACACACACCAAGCCGCCCACACAACAACAGCAACAACAACAACAGCAACGTTGGCCGCACAACCAGCAGCAGAGGCCGCCCACGCAACAGCAACAACTGCAGCTGCAACAACAACAACAACAACAACAACAACAACAGATCATTCATCAAAAAGCACAAGCCTCTAGTCAGAGTTTAAATAAATATCAAAACCTGGACAAACAAAGGTATCAACTGCCCGCACACACTCACGCACACACACACTCACACACACACACCCACGCTCACACAAATAATCCTCACTATAAACTGAATAAACACTGTAATTACCTAAAATTCGTAGCTAACACACTGCAAATGTAAATCGAAATTCAAATTTGTAAACACAACAACAACAAACAACAAATGAGGCTGCTCTGGACGGTTGTGCACGACTAGCAGATGCCCTTTACTCAGCTCCAAGCTGCTGTTAAACACATTCTTCCTTCTCTCTACACATACATACACAGAAACACACATAGCACACAAGCACGCACGCAGCAGAAACTATGCTTCTTCTCTCCTTAGCCTCGCACTGAGCCAAATACTATCCCAAGTAACTTGGGTATTCATTGCCCGATCTTTACGAAATTTTCAGTGCATGAATATGGCATCGAAATGGGCGTGCATACTAAGGCCCAAAAGTATAGCTTGAAAAATCTGTCTTTACTCTGCTATACTTAGTAAATTTGTCTCAAAACAGGAGATATCGAAAGAATATAGTAACTTGTTGTGCATCTGGTATAAGGGAATATATATTTATCTGCAGCTTTTGTAGTTTTCGAGACGGACGGACCTGGCTATAAATTTAACAGATATACATATATGTATGTATTTACTCTTTGGGCTTGGAGCTGCCTCATTTACACGCAATCCGTTTACCCCTTTTAACCATTTTCAATGTGGTCAGGGTAGCAAAAGCAAACAACAAACAATTAGAAATTTGTTAACTTGAATTAACATACGCATTTCCATATTGAATGCCATTTGCAGCTCAAGGCCGGCATTTGGACAGCACAGTCCGGTATATGTCGCAGCGCCAGGGCCAGGACAAGCAGCCGGACCTGGACCGGGACCAGGACCAGGACACGGACCAGGACATGGACCAGGACCAGGCCTAACAGCCGCTGCGAAATTTGCGGCGCAATACGAACCAGCGCGAAACAACAACCAGCAACAGATACAACAACTACAGCAACAACAACTGGAACAACAACTTTCGGTGCGTATAGCTGCCACAGCATGTGGCAACATAGTTAATTAATTCTTAAGCCGACTCTGATGGATATGCGCGAGAGAATGTTGCATAAAGTTTGGCACATGCCAATTGCACAGGAGCCGCATAATCAAGCCTTAAAACTCAAAACCGAACATTAAATATCCTTAAAAGAATAAAGTTGAGTTGCCTAATCGAAATAAATAGGAAATATTGAAATGCAGCTGAGAAAAGGCAATAATTCCCTTAACCCCAGACTATATGATAAATACAGTCTAGAATAACTTCGGTGCTTATAGTCCGATCGTTGTAAAATTTTCTAGGAATAATTATGGCATAAATAATTTTACTCATACCAAAGCGCAAAGTGCAAACTTTAAGAAAGGAATTCTTTACAATTTTAGTGGTAATATAAAATAGTAATATAAAATATGTTTATATTTACTAAGAACTTATATACCTATATACTGGGCTTAGCTCTTATAGTCTTCGGCTTAGGCCTAAAAACAAAAATCTCAAAATCGACTTAAAATACGACTGCTTTATCAATAAAGATAAAGACGTTTAATTAATGCCAATTTGAATTGGGATGTCCTCGAAACGAACACACAAGCTTGTATATATAAGAACGGCGCTAATTAGTCGCCAAATATGTGATGTACTTAAGCGCTTAAGTACCTTCATTTCGTAACCACCTGTAAGGGCATAATAATGACAGGTTTTAAATGCATAATTACTCTGGCAGGCATTGAGGATGATTGAGAGATGGCTTTTCTCCACAAGTCTGAAAGGCAGCGGAGGTGTGGCAGGTGGCAGGTGGCAGGTGGCAGCTGTGGGACAACATAATCAATCAGTCAATCAGTCAGTCAGCAGTTTCACTTCCAGACAAGTGCAACGTCTGGGCCTCAAGTGTTTATTGACACTTTTCTGAATGTGTAAACAGTTTTTCCTAGTTACAAACGTTTATTTTGTGCCCAGCTCGACCCTGTTTAGTGTCTCGTTGCAAATTGCATTGTCGTCTCTGGCTCTGTTAAGTGCTATGCACATATTTTGCTTAGCTGCACTGGGTCACTCTGGCAGTTTTCACTTTCGAGTGAGTCTTGGCAGACATGTGGGCCATGTGCGGCGCGAGAAACCTGGCCACGTTAACTAAGCCATAATTAAAATGCACTTTGACAGGGCCAACTGAATTGCAAAATCCGTTGCTGTTGGGCTTAATTAAATGAGTGCACATTTCACAAATATCCCACAATTTTGCCCGCTGGGCGACCCGGCCTGACAATCTTGCCGTTGTTAATGGATCTTTGGCGACAGTGCGTTGAGAAAGTATGCCAACAACTCTTGCCGACACCTGGCCGCCCATTTCGTGGGTCGCCAATGCAGTTAAGCATTTGCACATGCTATTAGCTGATATTTAAAGTGCATTTAGCGCAAAGATGAGCCTCAAAACATTTAAACAGTTGACGTCGCTTTAGATAAGTTAAGCATAAAACTCGAAATGTATATAATTAAGATATATTTATGTTCTGTTCAGGTCTGGGGCGACATACCTAGTACTGAACTCTATGAGCTGGTAGATAAGAATTTATATGTTTATATGAGCTGGAAATAATAGCTGCAATTAGTCTTCTTCAGCTTCTCTCTGATATTATCTTTCCTTCTCGTTTTCTCTTTTTATATAAAATAAGCAGTCTTTAGACAATTTATAGAACTTATTTTTACTGCTTTAAATTATAGAATAACGTACTTATTGGTCATATATACTTAACAGTATATATTGGTTATTTACGTGATAAGCTAAAGGGAATAGCAGAATAAGCTTCTCCCTTCTTTTATATGCAAATGAGTATAATAAGACGTGTTGGCTGCGGCGTAGTTTATATTTGAAAAGTATCGATCAGTTCTTAATTACTTTTCTACATTATTTATCAGAGACTGAATATAACAATTATTGCATTAACCTTTAACTAAAAAAAGGCTCTTTTGGTATGTCTATAACAAAGATCTGATCTGATCTTTACAAAAGTTTAATTTAGTAACACATTTTGTTCTATAACCAGCACAATCTATAAACTAGACTGGACTTCAAGCCGTGCTTATAGTTACATATGAAAGATATTATAAAATTATATCACAAGATCTAGATCTCAATACCACTTTTAATAATACCTGCTCCTAATATCCAGTTAATTGTTGAGTAACCCATGCTGTGGCTAAAAGCTGTAGTAATTTCTATGCTCATCAATTTGTCATGCCTTTTAACACTCTTTCCTTTACAGCCAGAGATGGCTGCTCAGCTGAAGGAGGCCATACGCATACAGGCGGAGCAGCGACTGATTCAACAGCAGCAGCAAATTCTGGAGCATCAGCCTTTCGTGCAGGATGGACAGGTTTGAAAGTGGACACGCGCAGCAGTCGAATGACTCTTAATTTTATAATAATTTTTATTTACAGCCGCTTTATCCGCTCAACTACGATCCGTTCTACAGTCCCATATTGCTGAAGATCGACAAAATCATCGAACAGCTGGGCGTTAAGAATGATCTGTGCAAGGAGCGCATCGTGTGCAGCATGTACAAGGATCCGGCCGCATACAGTCCGCACAGCAACTTCATCTCCGCCGAGCTCAGTCGGTATGTACCACGCAAAATCGGTTCACGACATGGCTTAGTTGCCCAAACCTGTCAGCTCCATTTGGGCGTCGAGTGTTATAGATGCACTTGGGCTCTTTTGGGCACACTTTGTGCTCTAATAGTTGCCAGACAAATTTGAAAGGCAGCCAGTCAAAGTGTCACGCCGTGTCACATTCTGGCGTTTGCCAAGTTTCGTGATGCCATTTTCCCTTGAGGTGAAAACTTTAAAACTCGAACCATAATGAACCGTCGCATAGCGAACGGGACGAGCAGTTGACAAGACTTTTCAATCAATGGGCATCAGCGTGAAGGCAAAGAAAGTGCGCCTACTCACATAAATCTGTGCAACATTTGTCACTGTTGTTTCAGCTTCAGCTTCTTCTTCTTCTTCTTCGTGCTGCACGTTGCACAGCACTGCACTCGGCCAGCCAAGCGGAAAGCTGCCAGCTTGCCGCGGCGTCAAAGAGCGCGTCAACTGACGCCACCCACACGCAACGTATTCTCATAATTGACTAACGACGGTCAACTGCCAACGGCGATGCACTCATGCGTGCCACAGGCCAGATATATTCATAACAGGTATACCCTGTAAACGTTATGGCAAAGGGTATGTGCACTTGGCGTTTATCTGAACACACTGATCAGCATATTTCAAAACTGAGTTGATATATATTCTGGCATCAACAGGCTCGACATTTTGGTCTCCTTACTATCCAGCTATCTTTTTATACCCTGTAAACGTTATGGCAAAGGGTATGTGCACCTGGCGTTTAGCTGTGCAGCAACAACTGATCAACATATGTCAAAGCTGAACTTATGTATATTCTATGCAACAACAGCCTCATCATTTCAGAGTCCTACCTATCCTGCTATCTTTTTCTAACCTCAGAAAACTCAAGAACTTTGCGAACTAGAGCATCAAAATTTTGTATGTAAGCCAGAAATGTCATAAAGAACAAGCTTTTCAATTTACCTCAAAATCAGCACAAGATTTTTCTAAATATGCGTATGCTGTAGCTGCCTCTACAAATTATCCTAATATATTCATTATCAAGGAGACAAATGAGAAAAGAGAACACCTGAATATATAAATAGCTTGGGTTTGACAAAAATAAAACACAATTTTTTGTTTATACTCCATAAGAATTTCTGCTACAATCCCGGACACTGTCAATCATCATATTCTGAGCTATTATCTTTCTGCATTTTATACCCCGCACACATATAAATGGAATATATTATATTTGCACAACTCTGCAAATGATACTCAAAGATCAGAGTATGTAAAATCTAGGGATAGCAAAATTGAAACGTGGCTACTCGGCGATAGACTTTCATTAAATTATCGATAACTTTCATCGAACTTTCCAAGATCGATCAATGAGGAATACCAGACCTAGTTTATCTAGGTCTTTATAGTAGATGCAATCTTAATGAAAAAGTCGACTGTTTCTAAATTGTGAAGCAGATAAAGTAAACTTACGAACACTCGATACGGATTACAGGGTATCTTTAAGTTGTACTCGCTTGACTTGCTATTATTGTGGCTTTTGTAGCTGGCCTTGTTTTGTTTAAATTTATGTCTAGGCGCAGACAATGAATGTGAATTGTCATCGTAAAATTTGTTGATACATTTGTTGACATTTAACAACAAATAAGAAATTGTGACAGTGACAGCGGCAAGATTGTTGCATACCTCCAGGGGCAGCTGCAAAATGGCAGGGGGAAAACGGGAAACGGGACGCATTGTGTGATTTATGAGTATTTATGTTAATGACACATCATTAATTAAATGCCCCAAGTGCGTTCAATAATCTTATCAGACGTACTGGAGGACTCAAACAACAGAAATAAAACAGACAACAAGAAACAACAGAAATTGAGCTAAAGACAAAAGCTAACCGCGAGCGGGGCCAGGACAGGCGAGGCTGAGGCCATTGCAGGCCAAGACAATGGCTTCGGAGGCTAGGAAATTAATTAAAATAGCTGCCAAAGACGAGAGAGACAGAGAGAAAAAGTTTTAAAGTGGCAATAGCTTTTACAAGCAACTCCAGAAATTGATTATCTATTACGAACAAAGCCCAAGCTTTAAGGCTTCAACTTGAGCGATTACCACAACTCAAATTGGCCAAGACAATGTTTTTGCTAATTTAATTTAATATCTCGCTAAGCTATTAGAAATATTCCAAGGCGAAAGACCTAAAGCAAGGCAACAGATTAATTGACTTTTTGCCGAGTCAACTTTAAATATATCTTTCTTTATGTAAATACTTTTATTTCAATTTGGGCATCCCTCATTTTTTTTTTCTCATTTCTTTTGTCCCTTATAAGTTTCCAAGAAAACCCTTTGAAAAGTATGCGAGCAGCGAGTCATGCAATTTTAACAAAATTGTGTTTTAGGCAAATTTCCATGTAATTAAATATATGTTAGTTAGTTTGTTAAAGTCGACCAAAGAAATCTTTGAAAACCTAATTATTAATTAACTTTATAAGTATATTCAAGCACTGAAAACAAGAAAAAATACACATTTGTGTCCTGTCGGAAATTGAATACCCTCTTCAAATGAATTCATTTAATTTCTTGATTGTCTTTAAAATCTATCGAGTAGCTAATGCGAAATATGCTCAAGTTTGTGTTAACTTAATGGCCAATAACTGTCGAATATAACAAATCTGATTATGTTGTCTCATTCCCACAAAAAGTTTGTTAAATATTTAATTTCTACATTTAAAATGAATCCCCGATGGGAGCCCAACCTATTTTTCCCATCTGAGAACTCAGATTCGGATTCGAGCCTTGGTTTTTCACTATTTAATTCGTATAAAATTAAATTAATTAAATATTTATATTAATCGAATTATTATTTAGGTTAAAAAAAGATATACTTTAAATTATATATTATTTTAATTTAATATAAATTGAATAGTTTAATATAATTGGAATATAATTAAATTGAATTTTTATACCCTGGACTCATTGAAAATGGGTAAAAAGGGTATAATGTATTTGTGCAAATGTATGCAACAGGCAGAAGGAAGCATCTCCGACACCATTAAGTATATATATTCTTGGTCAGCATCAATAGCGAAGTCGATCCAGCAATGTTGGTAGAAGTTACAGGGTATCTCCTAGTCGGGCACTGCCGACTAAAGCACTTTTACTTCTTTTTTTTTCAATTTAGTTGGTTTCTTGTTAATCTTCGGCTCTTCTTTATTCAACTAATTCGGTTTAAGGTTTGGTTCGTGGAAAATACAAATTATAATTTCGGCTACAAACCGTTTGAATTAATTTATATGCAATCAAACACATATTTACTAGCAAAAAAAGCTCGTCCAACTGTACAACTGTAGAGATTACAATCCATAAAAAAGAAAAGCGCGCAGGCAATACAGAAATCTTCCTTCAGCCATGGTCAAAAGAGGGACATGCCTCTTGTCAAATTGTTGCCAAAATTAGAATACGTTCCGCAATTGCTGGCAACTAAATAAAATGCTGCTTCACTTTGACATTGAAATGTGAGAATCTTCAGAATTGTTTTTAATGAAATTCAAAGTGAATTCCATGGAAAACATGAACTGACATTCATTTTATGGCAATGTCTGTAACAATTTGCCAAGCAGTGTGTGTGTGTGTGTGTGTCTGTCTGTCTGAGCACGTCTGCCGACTGAGCTCGTAATTTGGCCACAACTGGAAACATTTCAGTTACTTTTTCGGGCAGCATATGAACTCGAAGTTCGTTTCAATCATTAGCAGCAAAATCCATTAGCCAAAGCGGCAAAGCGTTGTCGACGCTTGCCGAGGATTCGAGCCAAGCTAAAAAGCCAAAACTACAATGCCCGATGGCATTTGGCGAGACCAAAAACCAACTTGAGTGTTGTGGAAACTGTGCTGGGTGGGAGGGGGTGGGGCTGGGGTGTGAAAATTGAGGCTGTTTAAGTTTGGTTAAGTTTGGCACGAGGACACGTGCCTGGGCCGGAGCCGAAAAGTAGGCGAAGGTTTCTTTCATCAGAATCGCCAGAGAAAGTTTACTTTCGATGCGGCAAAGTTAATTAGTCGAGTTCCTGACTGCTCTACCAAAATTAATTGAATTAACGCAATTTTCCATTTTCCTTTCATTCATATTGTGTTTTTTTTTTCCCCCGTTTCGGTTTCTATTTTCATTTGTGTGCCGCAGAGAGACGAGCGAATTGGAACCCGTGACGCATGCGAATGAGGCAGTGCGTCGCTTCTATCGACTCATACAGGCGGCCCGGGATGGGCAGGATCAAAAGGATTGCCACAGCCTCTATCCGCAGTGCAATATGCCGGCGAAGTGATAAATTGCTGGCAGCGGCAGCTGCATTGAGTACAATCAAATCTGTTGAGTCAACAATTCCTTGTTAAATCGAACTGTGAATATGCGAATTATTTAAACCTATTTAAGTCTAATTTAATTGTTAATCTCTTATTTATTTATTTATTGATTTATTTATTAATTGCGTATTGAATGTCATGTGCGCCCCTCGAATGCCGTCTCAATGTCTAATTAATATTCATTCTGATTTTGTTGCAACTATTTTTTTTACAATTTATACAATTTACACATTTTTTTACACCATTTTGGCCTTCAACTATTTGAGCTCTTGTTGCAATAACAATAAAAAAGAGCGTGCATAAATAACAATTGAAACATAAAATGAAATCAGGATTTGCATTAATTACAGACTGGCAATCGAGGCTGTAAATCAACGAAAAACATCCCATTCTGTAGTCCATAGAAATATTGTTGCTTACATTTTTTAAAACGAAAACAAAAATTATATTTAAATAAAACAAAACTACAATTCGAGGCGGAATTTTAATTTAAATGGTCGCTAGCAAAATTGTGTATAAATAAGAAATTTAAATAAAAACAATTAAAAATGTATTATTACTATTATTAACACGGATTTTCATGCAAAAACGAAGGTAAAATTTTCTATTTTAAACCCATTTTCTGTTTCGGAAAATTGCTTTACACTAAAAAAATGTTGTGAAGCACAATTTGTTGTGGCACGGGATAACCGCCTTGGGATTATTGAAAAAAAAATGTTTTTCTCCTCTTAAGTTAAGTTCTTGGCACAGAGCACTGGAGGCTACAGGTTCTCAGAATTGCTTTGGCTTATTTTAGGTCTTGATAAATTAAATTGCCTGCATTCGCAGCTCAAACTACCTTATTTCAACACCATGTTTGCAAATTCAGATGCGTGCTCACGCTGTGTCTAATACCCTGCACACAAATGTGGACGAAGGGTATAAAAAGCCCAAAAGCTTTTCATATAACTAAGAAAAGCAAAAGGCCTCTTAGGCATGTTTGTATTATCCAGCTCACAGTTGGTAGGTTCGTAGCTGATTTACAGGGTATTTGCGCGTCGTGCATTTACAAGCCATGCATTGTCTCATGTTTTTCACATATGAATTGAGTTAAGCTAATGCGCCTTAAGCGTGGCTGGTTCCATAGAATTAGGCATGCTGTGAAATCACTCATACGCAGCGTTGACGTTGCGTATACGTAATAAAAATAATTCCTTTTGCATAAATCAAGACGTCAAGGGCAGCCAGAACAGCGTGCTGCCAATTGTTGCAACAGCAACAGTCGAAATTAAAGGGAATTCATTTGCATAAATATATTTATTAGCCCAAGCTATTGAAATTTCTGGCCTGGCCTTTGATCTGCGAAAACAACTCAAGCGGAATGCGGCGAATATATGAGTTCTTGTCGCAATTAACACGCAAATGTCAACGCTTTTTCACTTTTTCACAACATAATTCTCGAATCCCAAAAAAGGAAACAAATTCAAAAAACAAACCGGAAACAAAGGCACAAGACAAATATTTTCATGCGACTGCATTGACATGAAAACACCAATTGCCAAACAGCTGGCTAATTAAATGCCGCAGCAGTAAAAGTATTTGGACACATTCCAGCTTAAAGCCAAAACCAGCCCCCTCCCCCCTCCCCCTCATTGGACCCAGCCCAACATAGGCTTGGCTTAATTTTTTGGGGCTACGATTATATTTCCGTTATACGAAACGCACATAACAAATTCATAGAAGAATGAAACAAGCAAAAGAAATCGTGCAGTCAACATATATGTTGGGGTAGCCTCGACCTGCTGATACCCTCGCGCCTGCACCTGAGACGATATTAGAAAAATAGTTAAGAGCTGCGGCTAAATGTGGCCATCGACCTGTTTGATTACATTTTATTAGTTCATGTGCGGCTGCTCTTCAAAGCACGAAAAGCACTCACTTTGGGCACTTATCCGGCAGTTTGCAGAATTTAATTTGAAATGTTCTTAAAGTCATTTTTACGGCTCAGCATTTAATATATATGTATGTACTAAATGTATTGCTCGTGTGGGTGTGCCTTACCTGGAAGCACATCAGAAATTCGATTCTTATTGAGTCTATAAATAGCAGATACATTTAAACGCTTTGCCTTAGCTCAGAGTTTAAGGAGAAATTGGCAGTGGTGACTGGCTTTGGTTTCCTTTGTGAAGGACAAACAAGGAATTGGCTTTAAGGTTCTATTAAAGCGCATCCATGCATATAAAACTGTTTGTCCTGACTGACTGACTGACTGACTGACTGATGATCAAGGCCAATTGTAAGAGCAGGAAAGCGTATCTTTTTACTAAAGCTACGGTTGGATCAAAAACGAGCACTAAGATGGGGCTAATAAATCTGGAAGGCAAGTAGAAATCTGTATGTAAACCATCAACAACAATGCAAATATTTATGTGCTTTGCTAATCCGAACTCATGAGCCTGTGTGACTTAACAAGTCCTAAAGTCGGACTAACAATCCGCAGGGCGCTGGTTCAAACTCATTAGCAATTTTTTTAATTTTTTGCTTTTATGTTTGCTTGAATAATTTGTTATTAAAAAACCTAATAATAATAATAATAATTATAATAATAATGATAATAATACAATTAATAATAATAATGACAATTAATAATAATAATAATGACAATTAATAATAAAAATAATGACAAAAAGGGTTTTTTGGGGTAGAGTCGAAACAATATATATGAAATCCGAAATTATATAAAAATGCAGTGCTAACAAGTTTCTTAGCCAAGCAATCACTTTGCTGTTAATTGTGTAAGGATATTTCATTTAAATAATATAAAGTTTTTCATACAAGAATCTGCTTTTCGAGCGATCGTTCCTATGGCAGCTATATGATATAGTCGTCCGATTCAGTGACATATTTACTGCGTGCGACAGACTGCAAAAAACTGAGAGACTAGTTTGCACAGAAACAGAAAGACGGCAACGCCAACACGTCTGTTGATACTGATCAAGAATATATATACTTTATGGGGTCGGAGATGTCTCCTTTAATGCGTTGCACATTTTAAGACAAAATTATAATACCCTCTGTAAGGGTATAACATTCTTATTAACACATGCACTTGAAGGCGCGGATTTTAAAACACCTTATTTATGGCTAAATTATTGAGCTTATAAAAGGCAGCCAAATCTGTCATAAAAACAGATTTGGCTAAAAATTTAATTTTAAAACAATTATATACTAAATATTTTGAGAAAAAAGAAAAAAACTAGTATTAATTTATAACATATAAATTAACAACAATAAATAATATTAATAAAAAGATTAAAAACTATATAAAAGTTTGTAAATATAATATATTTGTAAAGATTTATAAAATATAAATGAATAAAGATCTATAATATATCAATTTAATTTTTTTTGTAAATAAACCTGTTAATTTTGGACTGTTTTATCAATTTATACAATACATAGTTTTATAACTATTTTATTTATATTTTTTTTTTAAGCCTGCTATAGGTTAGATATGGCCACCTTTTGTAAGCGCAGTCAGTTAGCCATAATAAAGAAGAAGAAGTTTGAAAAGCCGCGCCTTCAAGTGCATTTGGTGGGCTTTACAGGTGGCCTTCTGCTAATGCATTGTGTCGGAGATACACACACACACAATTATTTCGTGGCGTATCGCATTCTAATTGAGTTGCCAGGCACGCGCATTGTGGATTGGGAAGTTGATTTAACGACAAACCCGAAGCGCAGAAGCCATAAAATAACTTTCAATTATGTGCGCCATGAAATGTTGTGTGTATTACGCTTAGAAGTATCCGATTAAGACGAGAGAGCGAGAGATCGGGGGACAGACTGAGTGCGGCATGCCCATAAGGCCCAGGCAGGTGACCCAATAGACCCATAAGGAGTCCGTAGAACCGGTCAAGAGCCCAGCCCCGGCAGTCGGCCGGTGTCGGCGTCACAGGTGAAACTACACAACTTGCGCTTTCCATGACTTTGACAAACGCGCACACACACAAAAGCGCAATGGCCAATAAAGCTGGAAGGCAAAGGCGAAGGCAGAGCTGGCAAAGAGCAGCGCGTCCGCCGCATACGCAATTCAATTAACAAAGTACCGACGTATAAAAACCAAGCGTTGCCCGGGCCACATTTGCATAACCCATTGAGTCGCCAGCGCGCGAGCAGCTAGCTTGGATTTCGCTACTCCACCGACTTCCATTTGGCCAGTAAAAAGGGCATAAACAAAAAAAAAAAAAAAGGATGCAGAGCTATAGTTGGCTAATTGGCGCTTTGACGGCGCTGGCCGCCGCCTCCGCGACTCGGGCCGCGCCCGCCCAGACGCAGCAACTGCAGCCGTCGGCCACGCAGCTGGCGCTGGACATGTACCATGGCTGTCTCAAGGATCTGAGCATCTCGTGTGTGCGTCCCAAGGCGCTGCAGTGGTTCAACGCAGCGCTGCAGCAGCCGGAGGTGAGGCTGACCGAGCGTCTGTCCCTGGTGCGTCTGGCCGAGTCCGAGGCGGAGCCGAGCAGACGCAGCTCAGGTCGCAGCGCCGAGCAGCAGCTGTTCGATGGCATTGACAACTATTTGGCGAGCCATGCGCTGAGAATTCAGGCGCCCGAGTATTTCCGCAGCTCCGAGGCACGCGCCCTGGTGCCCGATTTTCTACTGGAGAATCCGCTGACCCAGGGCGGCCTGGTGCCGCTCGCAGCTGCCAATGAGGGTGAGTAGCGGCATCTGATCTCGCCCAGCTTTAGCTAAATGACCCTTCCTCCTCTCATTCAGGACGCGGCATGATACGCAAGGCTGTGCTGCCCTTCCTGCTGGGCCTGAAGCTGAAGACCACCGTGCTGATGCCGCTGGTTCTGGGCCTGATCGCACTGAAGACCTGGAAGGCGATGACACTGGGCCTGCTCTCGCTGGTGCTGTCCGGCGCTCTGGTTATATTCAAAATAGCCAAGCCCAAGATTGTTAACTACGAGGTGGTGCACTATCCGCACCATGTGGATCATGTGGTGCCGCATCACATTGAGCACATTGTGCCGCATCACATCGATCATCATCATCTGGAGCATCATCTGGATCATCATCTGGACCATCATCTGGATCATCATGTGGATCTGCCGGTGGAGCATATTGAGCACTTGGAGCATCCGGCGCCCGCCTGGGATCCGCACGCCTGGGCACGTTCCTCCCAAGAGCCGCAAGACGCCCAGGACATGGCCTATGCGGGCCAGAAGAGGCGTTGAGATTGGAATCGAAACAAGCTGCGACTTTATTAATTTTGGCTCTATTTTAAGTAGTGCGTCGTATTGTTTTTAATTATTTATTTATTTATTTATTATTTATGAGAATTGTACAAAACAAAAAAAAAAGACAAGCATGTGGAAACCCACAAGAGAGAACCCATAAAAGGAAAGAGGAAGAAACGAAATATGTGTCTTTTGCAGACAGGTCGGGCAACTCGTGCAAATATTTATGCAATAAAAACTATGTAAAAGTCATTTGGCTAATTGAAGGGGATTGGACGCAAAGTTTCTCGGGGCAACACGAGAGCCGTGTAATTAGGAAATGTAACAAGCTCTTAATTAGGGCACTTGGCCCAACTTGCTAATGCAGGCATTAGCCGGGCGGGCTCCTTAACGCACTTAACCTTTGGCTGGTCGAATTGACCAAAAAACGGACGACTTGTTGAGCCAACTCCAGCTGGGGGTCATTAGCAGCCAGCAGCCAGCAGCTGGGACAAGTTGAAACAACCGTGGCATTAAAGTATTTGCAACAAATCTTGAGCGCAACGTGCCACCGAAACGTGAAAGCAGCAGGGTATTCAATTTGTTTGCTTGTTTTCGTTTCTTTTTTTTTTGGCACCAGTTAAACCACGGACATTTTTCTGTATGCTCTTCTCAGTTGTTTCAGCACCCACACGTGGCAGTTGGGAAAGTTGCAGCGTTGACAACGGCGACAACGGCGACAACTGCTGCGTGCAACAATGCAAAATGGCGCCAGCGCCAACAGCAGACGCCGCCGCAACCGCAGCAGAGACAGCAGCAGCAGCAGCAGCAGCGATGACAGCAACAAACAACTTTAAAGTATGACCATGCCGAAACTTAAATACCCTTGCACACATAGAAGTCTTTTTCAGAGCTGCAAGCCCGGCAAAGGAAAGTCGCTGGTTCAAGGTTTAGGTTTGTTTTGTTTCATGAAATTGCTTTTACTCATTTTCGTACACAGGTTTAAACTTTCCATTTGACATTTTTCTTAAAAGCCCCGCTGCAAACCCAGCTAAGGAAAGTCGCTGGTTCAACTGCCTGCTTTTATGTTAGTTTTGGTTCGTTAATTTGCTTCTAGACATTCTTTCACACAGGTTCAGGCTTTACATTTGACAGTTTTCCTAAAAGCCCAGCTGCAAGCCCTGAAAAGAAAGGTCGCCGGTTCAACTACCGTTTTTTTCGCATTTTCGCAGACAGGCTAAAACTTTAGCTTGACATTTTTATCGAACATTTAAACAAAATTAGTTTCAATTATTAGCCTATTCAACTGAAAATATTTCAAGCTATAAATAATTTTTTTTTTATAGGTAGTTGCGGGCTAACTACTCTCTCTTTCTCCCCCTTATATCTCTCTCTCTCTCTCTCTCTCTCTCTTTCTTACTCTCTCAAGGACAAAATTGGCATTTTCTATAAATACATGCAATATTTGGGGCACAATTTATTTTTATTTTCGACCTAAGCCCTTTAACATTTTTAAATTTAGCCTAACCGAACCTTAAATACCGTATATATCTGATAAAAACTGCGAGTTTCGGGTCGACTATTGTTGGGGAAATTTGCTTGGTTTCAAGTTTGGCTTATGAGTAAAAAACTATTGATTAGAGTTCTGTGTTCAAACCGGTTCGGCTTAAGATCAACATGAAATCTAAATAGAAGTCCAATTTAATGGACTTGTCCAGATAAAGAATAAGTAAATATGTAAAATATACATGCAATAATTAATTAATGAATAAGGATGTTCATAATTACTGAGATTAAAAAGCAGAAACACTTTTCACCCAAAAACGAACTTTTTATCTATTCGATATAGATAATTACATGGTAAAACTTTCCATCCAAAAACTATATTTTTTTTATGATATAGTAGTACGATGTGTATAGGATTATGCCCATATATATAAAACATGGAGAAGTTTGTAAATAACAAGTTTGGTCAGGCAAAAAAAACAACTTTTTTATGCCAGAAACTAAATTTCAACAGATTGCGGAACTATGCTCGCCCTTAACTGTTGATACTGATCAAGAATATCTATACTCAATGGGATCCGTCGCACATTTCATCACAAAACTATAATACCCTCTACAAGGGTTAGTTAGCAAATATAGTGTATATGGCTTCGCTGGCTGGCCAACACTTCATTGATATTTAACTTGGCTGCCATCGTATGGCCGTTTCTACGCAACAATTTGAAATGTGACAAACAAAAAAAAACAACAACTTTTCCAATTTCATTGGCAAATGTCGGAGGCTTCTGCGGCTGCCAAAATGCGCTCGGAATTGCAAATCAAGCGCCAAAGCGTGGAGAAACTTTGGCTTCAAACACACACGAAAAAAAAGGGTTTAAAATAAAAAACAAAACAAACAAATATACACGAATTGCTCTGATATCAATTCCATTTTCGTGGCAGCGCAATCAATATACGAAATTCATAATTTACATGTTGCAACGCGAAATATATCGAAATTCAGCGCATGTCTCTTGCAAGTTGGGCCTGTGGTCAGGTGAGGGTGAGGTATGAGGGGGGGGAGGTGCTGTATCTTTGGGGCATCTGCTGTCACTTTCGCTTTCGTTAGGGCAACGAAAAACACTTTCTATATCATTGGCATGGACTCAATGTCGCCGAGCTGTTGCTCAATTTGGGCTCTGAGCTAACTCAGCTTTAATTATTAATTATGATTTTTCAGTGCGTTAATTGCCCAACTGAATTTCTGCTTGCACAATTTGACGTATAAAATATGCGTTGCACTTGTTTTATGAATAGTTTTTTAGCGACCACTGAACGGTTTATGAGCTTGCGAGCAGCTTATCAAAAGTGTTGCCTATATTTCGGCTTGCCACACGATGTGGCATTTGTAAGGCATGTCGCATACCGATTGGTGGCATATGCCTCCAAGCTAAATAGTTCCTGATAAAGGCTTTCTTTGTCATTAATTAATCTTTAATCATTAAAAATATGCTATTCACCCTGGCAACAGTTTCTTTATACAAGTAAAGTCTTTAGAGTAGGCTGTGTGAGGAGCTATAGAATAGCTATAGAAAAACTCTAGTATAGCTAGAGAAGAGCTATAGAAAAGCCTTAAAATAGCTGTAGAAGAGCCTAATATGCTTCTAATCAAACGATCTATTAAACTCTTCCAAAACTCCATTAAAGGCTTTTACTTAACACTTATTAAGCCCTTCGATTTTTGATTATTTTTATCATCAATATTTCTCTATATTTATGTGCACATTATATTGTATGTTTTAAATATAGAGTAGCTATTTTTCTTTCATCAGCTATCAAATACTTTTCATTTTAAATTTATTCCAGCGAATATTGTTCTCTATTGCCCAGAAAGCCATAGAAAAGACTACGCTTTACCCTCAAGACCAACTTTAAGGCTTCTTTCATACTTTAAAATGTTTATCATTGTATTCATAAATATAGCCTTATTTAAATATATATTAGATTTCTAAATATAGACTGTATAAGATATTGCACACTATTTTGTATACCCTAGAAATTAATGCTATAAGATACTATGCCCGAAGTCCCCGAATTCAAAAGTTAACACTAAAAATCAAACAGTGATAGACTTTGATAGACTCTCAAATATAATAATAAATGTAAATAAAATAAACATAAAATGACATATAAAAGGAAATACTATTCCTTTATCAAATCAACTCTCGCCTAGACCTACAAAGCAAAGAGCTGATCAATTATGGACTCTATCAAGGTTAGTTAACTCAAAATGCATTTGCCTGCGCTCTTCTCTCTCTCCCCCTCACCACCTCTCACTCTCTCTCGCACACTTTGCAGACCTTTTTGGAGACATGAAAACGGGCAATTGAAAAACTAATTTAACCATACAAAAGTCAACTTAAATGGCGCCCTTAATAGCATTAGCAGCTCTTTTCGAGTTTTCGACAATTTCCTGCAGCTACAATTGGGCGTCTCGGACCTTATTTGATGAAATGGCAGCAGGAAAATGCATTTAATATCAAAGTAAAGTTAACCAAATGAAACGCAGCGCCCGGGACAGACAGAGCCGGCACGCGTTTAAAATAAAAGCGCATTAAGTATACGACACGTGGTGCCCAGGCACGCACACGCGCTGCCACAAAGCCGCAGCGGAGCCAGAGGCAGAGCCACAGGCAGAGGCAGAGGCAGCAACAACAATGCATTCTTGTTGTTGTTGTTGTTGGCGCTCTGCCTCTTTCGGCGTCTGCTTCATTTATGTCTTCTTCCGCCATGTTTCTTTCTTTTTTTTTCTTTTTTTGCGCACGACCACAGCCAGCCCGAGAGCCGAGCGTCGAGTCGTCGCAGTCGTCGCAGCGCCGCTTCAAAAAAAACATTGGGCAAGTATAAAAATCGTGAACAATAGAAAAACGATTATTAAACTCAATTGTGCCAGCATTGAGGCGAGTTGTGTGTGTGCCCAGCCAGTCGAGACAGCAAATCATTCACAAATACAACAAAATGGCCAAATTGCTCCTGCTGTTGGTTGTTGTGGGCATTATCGCAGCCCTGGCGGCCGATCAGGCGCAGGGCGCCAATGCTGCGCCGCAGCTGCAGCGCCTGATAGCCGAGGAGCAGAGCAAATGCGCCAGCGGCCAAGATTCGATGGCGTGCATCAAAGAGCGCGCCATGCGCTTCGTGGACAATGTGCTCAGCAAAGATAGCTACACGGTGAGTTGACACCTCCCCTCCCCCCCCCCTCTCTCTCACACAGTTTTTAACTGAACATCTCTGTTGCAGCTGGCCAATCTGGAGGTGAGCTCGAATGGCCAAAAAATGGGTGCCGTTAGCGAGGCACGGGCCAGCACCAGCGACGGCTTCCTGGATGCCATTGAGAACTATATGCGTGGACACGATGTGAGCATGAATCTGCCCGTGGCCGATGCCAAGATCACCGTCTCGGCCCGGAATCTGGCCAACGATGAGCTGAGCTTGAACCTGCAGCTGAACAATGTTGATGATGCGTCCGATATCGA